ATGGAAGGAATTCTATAACATAAATGATTCACCAAAAAGCAAGACGGGAAATTAGGAATAGAGGAAACAAGAGAGTATGAAAAGTATATAAATTAAACATCAAGACTTAAAATTCAAGCATATCAATAACAAAATGAATCAAAGACCCAAATTCAAATACAGAGCATCACAATACATAAAAACAAAATGAAATGTGTGTTTATAAGATGCAAACATAAACATTAACATATCAGTAATTTGAATGGGAAAGGAAGGGTAAAACTACCATACGAACATTAAGCAGCAGGAAGGCAGCGTAACTTACTAATATCAGACAACATGAGGCTCGAGATAAAGAAATAAAATGGTCATTTTCCAATGAAGGGTCGGTTAGTTACTCAAGAAAACATAATCCTAACTGCTTATGCATCCTTAAGCAAGGTTCCCGCATACAGGGGAAAAGTTTAACAAGACTGAAGGGAAGTAGACACAGATCTCCCAATTATAATTGAGGATCTCAGGATACCTTTTAGTAATAAGTAGAACAAGTAGGAAAATGTCCATAAAGATGTGAAAGATTTAAACTCCACTTTATCAGTACAAACTCAACTTCATGAGTCATCACAGAAAGATAAATTTAGCCACGAGAGAACACTAGATATCTAGGAAAATGGCAAAATTAAAACAATTGACATTACCATATTTAGGAGATATGGAGGCTTGGAACTCTCATAAAAGGTGGCTTGGAACATGAAATGTTACACATATATTGGAGCTAATTTCTAGTTTCTTAAAAAGCTAAACAATTTCATTCCTATATATGTATCCAGGAGATTGAAAACCTTTGTCTACCAAAAGCCTTCTGTATAATAATGCTCATTATAGGTTTATTCATAAAAGGCAAAACTAAAACAATTCATATTTCTACAACAAGTAAATAAACATCATATGGTGTTATTAGTATAGGAATACTACTCAGAACTAGAAGGGATGGACTTCTGACAACATATAACAATATCAATAATCTCACAATATTATAATTAGTCAATGAAGCAGGGAGTAAAAGACAGTGCATACTGTGTGATTCCATTTATATGAAATTATAGAAGAGGCAAAACTAAACTATAGTGATAGGAATTAGAGCCAGGGTTTCTTTTTGGTACAGCCCTTGTCTGACTTGCCTGGAAAGGGGCACATGGGAATCTGTAGGGTGATAAAGATGTTCTGTCTTAGTTTTGGTCATCAAGGTTGATTAAATGGTATAATTAAGATTTGAGCCCGGCCGGGCATGGCTCGNTTTGGTCATCAAGGTTGATTAAATGGTATAATTAAGATTTGAGCCCGGCCAGGCGTGGCTCAGTGGTTGAGCATCAACCTAGGATACAGGCGATCAGGGTTCGATTCCCAGTCAGGGCACATGCCCGGTTGTGGGCTAGGCAGCCGATCAATGACTCTCTCATCATTGATGTTTCTATCTCTCCCTCTCCCTCTCCTTTCCTCTCTCTGAAATCAATAAAGATATATTAAAAAAAAAAAAAAAAAGATTTGAGCATTTCACAGTATATTAACTATGTTATAATAAAAATATTACTTTTGAAAGCCATGTGAAATGTGTTGCTTTTTAAAAAATATTAATTAAATCGTGTAAGTAAAGCTGGGAGGAATGTGGAAGCCTGACTTTACATATAGCCTTCAAACAGTGCAAATAAGAACATCTTCTAGTGTTAAATACACAACTGTGAGTAAGACACAGACTTCTGGGCAAGGTGGCAGTGCAGGTAAGCATGGTACCCACCTTCTCCCAGACCACATCAAAATTACAACTAAACTACCACCATCACTCAGAAACACCCGAACTCTGGCTGAATGGAAGTTCTATAACTAGGGAATTAAAGAAGCAGCTATACTGAGGCTGGTAAGAGGGGCAGAGACACAGAACTGGCTGGTCCCACACCCACGTGTGGCAATAAAAATCCTAAGGGCTATGGGCTGCAGACGTCTTCCCTGGAAAGGGAGGGCCCCCAGCCCAGGAAGAGAAGTTCCCACACTTCTGGCTGTGAAACCCAGCAGAGATTGTAGCTGAGTGAGGTGGGGGCTGTTGGAGTCCCGAGCGTTCCTCTTAAAGGGCCCACACATGGACTTCACTTGGACTCACTCCCTCTGAGCTTGGTGCTGGGGCAGCTGCTTGAAAGGAAGCAGGGACATTCGGGGAGGAACGGCCTCGCCTGGCAACAGGGCGAGAGCTGGAGGTGGGGGTGGCAGCTTACTCCCAGAGAGAAGCGCTCGCTGAGGTTGTTGACCTTTGAGGAGCCAGCAGGTGGGCACCATGCCTGAGACTCCAGCACCCTGGCTCACACTGTTTGCCCTGTGCAGGTGAGGCCCTGCTGCACCCAAATTCCAGGCCCACGCAAGCTGTTTCCAGTGGCTTTTCCATAATAATGGCCCATCTTGGTTCACGCTTCAGATTTTCCTAAAATCTCTCAAACAAGCAGCATGTGACCTGAGCATGCCCGTACCTCTCCCTAAGTAGCCCCATCCCTGGCACTAGCAGCAGCCAGCCTTGATTCACAGCTTGACCTCACCTGGGTACCTCCAAGCCCAGACAAGTAGCAGCTATCTGCAGATTGCTTTGTAGCTCATGCCGGGTGGCTCCTGGAGAACACACACCATGGCTGACCTTGGCGTGCACCTCCTGGGAGGCCCCAGAGTCAGCACATCCAGTAGACAGCTTTAGACCACATCAAATTATCACCACCACAAGTGACACACTCATGGAGTGGACTCAGCGGGAACAGGAGCCTTGCTGAAGTAGCTCCTGCTCTGGGGGTGGGCCCCTGGTCCTCCACTATGGTCAGAGGTTGGTGATCAGTGATCACAGTCAGTCCTTGAAGCTGATCACCTATGAGTGAATTCTTCCCATTGATGTGCCAACAGCAACCAAGGCTCAACTACAAGAAGAGGGTATACACAGCCCATAAAAGGGGCACGCCTCAAGTGCCCAGCTTGGGTGATCAGGGAGACAGTGACACTGGACCCTACAGAACAACCATTACACTAGGCCACTCTACCAGACCTGAGAGAGGTAGCAGCTCTACCTAATACACAGAAACAAACACCAGAGGGCTGCCAAAATGAGGAGACAAACAAACATCCCAAATGAAAGAACAGAACAAAACTCCAGCAAAAGAACCAAATAAAATGGAGATAAGCAATCTACCAGAGGCAGAGTTCAAAACACTGGCCATAAGGATGCTCAATGAACCTGGTGAGAACTGCAACAGCATAAAAATTTTTTATCTCCTTTTAAAATAGAGGATTGATGATGCAATATGTAAATACTTAAAATACCACAGGTAATCACTTAATAAATTCAAGATAAAAATTAGATTCAGACCTGGTTTTGCCTTATCACAAAACAATGCATTTAACCATAGCTACATATAACCTTCAAACAGTAGTCACTGTAGGCTTGAAGAGTGAAATTAACAACCACATTTTCTACATTTTTGTATCTGTAGCATAAAGCATATTCCCGGCAAAGAGAAAACCATAAATAAACAGTTCCTAAATTGATCTGTACAAACATAACAAAAGAAATAAAAGACACATTTTGGCCTCAGATAGGCAATACCTTTTCCACAAAATATGGGGGGAAAGGGGGTTTCTTTGCTTTTACTTTTTTCCCTTTAATCTTTTGAGCTGAAGTTCAGGTCCTTAGAAGGTGCTTATAAAGACTTCAAAGGATTGTACTTGAAGGAGACACTGGAAAGAGCACCTGTTTCTTTGAGATTTGAATGAGGGCTGCTCATTGTCTTACCTGGTGATGAGACTCAGACAGAACAAATCTCAGAGGTTTGAAGCTGAAATATAGCGAAAGCCTGTATTCATCAACTTCCTTTAGCATACAGATCTACAAAAGAAACAGTACAAAGTGTACTTAAGGAAAGCTTAGAGCACTCTCACTCTTGTGGTAAGAATATTTAAAATATTTTAAATTTGTACAACTTTTGCAATCTAATTAAGTCATACTTATGGAACTGACATTTTTTACAATACAAGATATTATAATAAAATGTAAAAGACAACTATTAAATTCATTCACATTATTGCTTAATCTTGAAAAAAAATGTTTTAGGATCAAATTTTGGCATATTTAAATACTATTAATCATTTTAGGACAAAAAATGTATTGGAAAATACAAATTTCCAAATATTGCTAGGATGGTGAAACTCAGATTATTTTTTTCAAAGCATAAAATTTATTGAAGGCATTATAAAAATTCTTTCTCAGAACAATAAAACCAAAATTTAAAATAAATAAAATTTACAAGGAGTTCCTTTATCTCTAGTGATCATGAGGTCCAGCAATATGCATAAATACAATATACAGATGATGTATTATAGAATTGTATACCTGAAACCTGTATAATTTTATTAACCTGTCACCCCAATAAATTTGATTAAATAAATAAAAAGAAGTGTGTGCTTTTAATACCTTATTATTCATATATGAGGCATTTCATCTGAAGATTAAACTTTCAAAATTTATGTGATGGATATTTATTTTTGAAGAGCTCAATGCAGATCTTCCCAGCAGAGTTTTTTTATGCTTTTCTGGCCATGTAATCAAGCCAGGCCAATAAATCAGTTAAACCAGGTGAAAGTAACTATCAGACAAATTGATCCTGTATGTCAATAGGAAAGTTTTGCACTTTACCCAACACATTATAGGTTATTAGTTAGTTGGTTCGTTAGTCCACAGGCCGAGGCAAGCCAGAGCTTTGTGACCCCCCCCTAATGGTGCCGTCTTGCTTTCTTTAGATTGAAGGGTACCCATTATTTTCTCTTGTTGAACTAACCCTCCATCATTTAACCAGACTTACTGTTTCCAGACTTACTGTCTCAGGGCCTTACCTTGGAGATGAGTTGGCCACAAACCCCGACGTTGTGTCCCACTGAGTCTCACTGTGAACAATCTGAAGTCTCTCACTCACACCTCAAACAAATTCAAAGACCTGAAAATGGGAAATACGCTGAGCTCCATCCAAGAGAAGCTTACCAGGGATCCTGGAGAGCGACCAAAGAGTAAGTGAACCAAAGGGGCTCTGTAGGTACTTGCACCTACCTCTAGGAGCCGTCCCCGAATCTTTAACAGCTGCTTTCGGGTTTCATCTTGTTGCCAAAATTGTCAAATGACAAAACTAAAACAATTTAGTAAGTTGGATGTTCCTCATTCCAGGGAAAACAATCCGTGGGTTGGGGGAGTACAGTCTCTAGCAAGCAGAGCAGGCCTCTTCCTGAGTGATTTGGGCAAGAGTGAGTTTTACAGAGCATTAGACGAGTTAACAAGAGAGCAGAGGGGCTTGATTGGCTAGGAGGTTGGGGGTTTCCTTGTAAGGCGAATAGGTCCTATTTTCTAGACCACCATAAACTAGCTAAAGCTGAGCTGGAGAGGTGTGATTGGTACGTCAGGTTTCCTTCACAGGAGTTTCCAATAACCTGCAGGCTGACAGGTTTAGATTTTTGAGGTGGGCGGTGGTCTTCATTTTGTGGATCACAATACACAAATTAACTTCATCGCTGAACAATTCCACTCCTAGGTACATGCCCAACATAAATACATGTGTACGTGTATCAGACTTTATGGTTACGAATTCCCATAGCAGTTTTATTTTTATCCAACTAGAAACAATACACTTGTCCATGAACAGTAAAGTAAATCAATTAATCATGGTATAGCTATACATTTAAATACTATGTAAAACAATGAAGATAAACTATTGCTCCCCACATTAACATGACTCTCACAAACCTTATGTTGAACAACAGAAGTGAGACTTAAATGAGTACATAACATATCTTTTATTTTTAAAATTTTGTGAACAGATGAAATTAATCTATTGTGATAGACTTTGAGTAATTGTTAATTTGAGGTAGTTAGTCACTGCAGGGGACAAAAGGTGCTCCCTGGATAATCACAGTGAAAAATTTGTGACCTGGTTAGTTGTTTCAGGTGAAAATGTATAGACTCAAGATTTGTGCAGGTTTTTGCTGGTGTATAAGATTCCAGTGAACGCCCAGCTGGGCGTGGCTCAGCGGTTGAGCATCGACCTAGGATCCAGGCGGTCAGGGCACATGCCCGGGTTTCAGGCTCCATCCCCAGCAGGGGGCGAGCAGGAGGCAGCTGGTCAATCATGACTCTCTCATCGTTGATGTTTCTCTCTCTCTCCCCCTCTCCCTTCCTCTCTCTGAAATCTATAAAGATATATTAAAAGAAAAAAAAAGATTTCACTGAACAATGGGCTTAATAAATAAGTAAAATATGAATATAGAGGAGATAGATTGGTAGTTTGGAGTAGAGTAGCAATATAGTGAGAAGTGGTTGAATCTATTTTGAAATTAGAGGCAATACTATATTCCAAAGTTGAATGTGTAATATGAGAGAAATAAATTATAGATGTCCGCAGAGAAACTAGAAAGTTAAACTTGTCATTAAAAAGAAGAAACCAGCAGGGTTTCAGAGGAATGATCACTTGGTTTGTAACATCTTAAGTTACATGTGCTTTTAGATAGTTAAGTGGAGCTCTAGTAGGGAACTTCCTAAACCATCTGTAGTTCAGAAGGGAAATCTTGAAAAATATTAAGCATAAAAGAAACATAATAAGATGAATATATATCAAATATTAAAACAAAAGAAATTTGTAATATCTATAATAATATTAATAACTACATTTCCTAGTTAAGAGAATTTTCAGTGATAGGCAAAATACATACTTATAAAAAATAAAGTTAAAATTGACAAAATATTTACATACTACTCTCAAAAGTAAAGATTAAGGAGACAAAAGTCAAACAAGCAATAGTTTCGGTGTAGAATCTTTGCAAAGTACAAATAGCACACTTGATCTAATTGGCATTTGTAGAACACTGACTATAGCACAGAATATATACATTCTTTTCAAGCATTGTGAAACATTTATTTTATTTGAACACATAAAGACATGAAACAAATCTCAAAAAATATAAAAGAATTATATTCATCAGGTTCTCTAAAGACATTAAATCTGTTTAACCTAACAGTGAGTTTAGATGCTGGTGCAACTGAGAAAGTATATTTTTATATCTAATATCCCATATCCATAGAGAGATATATAATAGTATACATTCAAAAGTGTTTTTATCCCCAGGGGGGGCATGCAGGAGGCAGCCGATCAATGACTCTCTCATCACTGATGTTTCTATTTCTCTTTCCTGCTCCCTCTCTCTCTGAAATCAATAAAACATTTTTANGCAGCCGATCAATGACTCTCTCATCACTGATGTTTCTATTTCTCTCTCCCGCTCCCTCTCTCTCTGAAATCAATAAAACATTTTTAAAAAAAAGAGTTTTGGTTTAGATGATAAATTATATGATAACAATAGTTAAAAATCAATAATAACATAAATATTTAAAATATGTTTGAAAAAAACCTAAGGAATTTACAATATACTCAGAACTGATCAATAAATTGCTATCAATCATCTAAATTGATATCTTAAAGCAGCATTTTTCAAACGTGTTGTTCACATCACTCCTCTACAATTTCAGGCGTTATTGAAAATCCTAAGAGCTTTTGTGCATATGAGTTTTATCTTTCAATGTTATCAATATTCAAAATTAAAGCTGAAACAATTTTAAAGCACATAGCAACACAGGCACAAATTTATGAACATAATGATAGCAGCGTGAATGAACCTGAATTTCTAATACCAAAGCTTATTCTTGCGAGGACCCGTGATCTCATTTGTCTCCCAAACTGGTTACATCTGTTTTTGCTGCATATTTAAAGTCTCCCTCCTTCTCATGTCATATTGCCAGGAACACAGCTATAGGGGTGCAAGGCACTGCTGGTCCCAGCCATTTCACTTTTAAAGCGTGAGTAGGCCAGGAACCCCTCAGCCTGGTTGGCCTTAGACAAGCTTGCGAAAGATTAATCAATTCCACAATTTTTCTTTTACAGTTGCTTGCGTAGGGCTTCAACCTCTAGACCCCCAGGGTCTTTGTAAAATAAGCAAGTCAAAAACAAAAGATATTTTATCCTATTCTTCATCCACTTGTTTCCATAGGCAGTGAGGTAAAAAATGTAAAGTGTAGGTAAGTGGGAAAGAGGAAATCTTTTTAGTAAAACTGTGGCTCTCTTCCTATTACAAATGCATTCACATTCTGGCTGTATATTATACTCCAGGGACCCAATTCTTTAGATATTCTCAGAGGGAAACGTGAGAAGTCATCAGCTGTGAAGCCACTTCAATATCTGTGGATTTCATGCAGGAATATAACTCAATATCCTCTGCTTCCTTCTCAGGAAAAGCTGAAGAAAACTGCTTTACTTACTGCCATAGTATGCCCAACACTGACGATCTCTGTTTCAGGCAATTTACAATTTTACTTTTTTAATTGAATTTATTGGGGTGGCACTGGTTAATCAAATTATATAGGTTTCAGGGGTACAATTCTATAATACACATCTGTGTATTGTATTGTGTGTTTTCCACCCCCAGTCAAGTCTCCTTCCATCACTATTTATTTTCCCTTATTTATCTCTCCTCTAACTCTCCTTCCACATATTTCTCTTTTTGCTAGTTTACTATCCCTACTAATTTCTAGAAAAGCCACATAAGACTGGCTCTTTTGGCTCCCGTTACAGGTTTCCTTTCTCATTCAGGATACCGAGAGAGGACCTGCTTAAAGTTGCACAGGTATGTTCCACAAATTAATGGAGAAACCTCAGTAACATTGAACTAGGCTATTTCAGAGCTCAAAAACCATTAAGCTTTGAATGATGACCAGGACTCTTACTAAACCCTCTTATCTTTGGGGACATTGCTGATGACATCACAATATTTTCTTACACTGTTTAAACTCAAATACAGTAACCACAGAGAGGCAGACAGATTTTGACATAGCTCCCATGTTCCCTATCTACTGGTGTTCACATATTGTGTGATCCAATTCTCTTGAGTGTGGATGGAACTTGGGATTTATTTCCAATGAATGGAATGCAGCCAAGGTGATGGCATGACCTTAATCATATATATGTGATTACATAAGACTGTAGCACCCATCTTGCTAGAATCTCCCTTCCTGCCCTCTCTCTCTCTGTGTGATGGCTTTGAAGCCAGTCATCTTGCATCCTACAACTGCAAGAAAATTAATTCTGCCAACAACCTGAGAGAATTTAGAAGCAGATCCTTCCCCAGTCAAGTCAGTGATGAGAATCCAGCCCTGGATGACGCCCTGCATACAGCTTTGTGAGATCCTAGGCAGAGGGCCCAGCTAAGGCATGCCCAGATTCCTGAAACACAGAAACTATGAGAAAAGGTACATACGTGTGTTGCTTTAAGCCACTACGTTTGTTGAAATTTAATTTGTAGCAAAGAAAGCTAATATACACATCTTTACTTTCAATCAAAAAAGGAGGAATTTTTCTGTTTTATTTTGTCCAAAGTAAACATGTTCACTAATCAATTTTAATAAAGTCTCTGACATTAGAGATTATATGGATTCTTTGGTTCAGTAGTGGAGCTTTTTCTTTTATGCATTCAGGAGAGTACAAGTTACTCAAAAGGTAAATAAGTAATCCTTAAATGCTTTTTCAATCAAATATTAAGTTGTTCATTGAAGAACCATCAAAATTTCCTGACATTTTCCTGTAGCAAATTATTACCTACATTGCTTTAAAATGTACTTATTCTATTTCTATTATAATTAAACATATATTCTGTATAGCTATATTCCAAATAAGAGTATTATGATAGTTGATGGCCTGATGCCAAATATTTAAAAATATCACTGAGTTCCCCCCAACATGACTCTGTTGATTGGGTATCATCCTGTGCAATCAAAGGTTGCCAGTTGGATTTGTTCAGGGCACATGCCCAGGTTGAAGGCAGGATCCCCACTGGGGGATGTGCAGAAGGGAGCTCAACAATGTTCTAATCTAACATCGATGTTTCTCTCTCTCCCTCTCTCTTCTTCTCTATCTAAAAAAAAAAAAAAATCAATAAAAATATTTTTAAAATATCACTGATTTAAGAATATTAAATTATATAGATACAGTAATATTGATACTTCAATACGGTCTCAAAAATAAGGAAATTAATGGAACAAACTTTTCATGTAATTGCATAAATAAAATCCAAAAAGTCAATCCTAAATAGTAATTTTGTAATTTAGTGACCTATGTAATAGACAAAACAGTATTTTGCTAAACAGTATTTTTACAAGTAATCATAAAGAACATATTTTATATAAATATAGCTTTCTGATTACCTACTTTGAGCATGTGTTTTTATTGAACCCATAAATAAATAAAAATAAAAATGATCTATTTAGTTCTGAAGATAGTCACAAAGCTGGCCAAAATGTGGAAATTAAAATATATATAAATTTAGCCCAGCTAGGCATGGCTCAGCGGTTGAGCATCAACCTAGGATCCAGGGGATCATGGTTCGATTCCCAGTCAGGGTCTATGCAGGGTTTCGGGCTCGATCCCCAGTCAGGGAGTGCAGGAGGCAGCCGATCAATGACTCGCTCATCATTGATGATTCCATCTCTCTCTCTCCCTCTCCTTCTCCCTTCCTCTCTCTGAAATCAATAAAGATATATTTAAATATATATATATATATATTTATTTATTTATTTATTTATTTATTTATTTATTTATTTAAAGGTTAAAAAACAGTAATTGCACATATTTCACACTTACGTCCAAGAAGTGATATGACAATTAGGATTCCAAGAATAAAGACTGGTGGGAAAGAGAAATTAGGACAGATACACTCAGAACTGACGACATAAAGCATCCGTGAAACAGTGCTCAATCAAGTAATTTCTGTGCGCTCAGTTGTAGTGCAAGCATTCTTTGAGCTTACAGGTTAGCAATGGTTTCTATCTAGAAAAAGAGTTGGAGAAAATATCCTTTAAAAAATATAGTGTAGCATAAAGTGTAAAATTATAATGATCCTCAATGCAATTAAAGGACTAGGCTGGAAGACATGACTTACCTATTTAATTATCCCAATTATTCCTAAAATGAAAAGACCCGTGGTAACAATAGTAACTAACAGAATAGGGTTGAGATAATAGAAATAAAATATAATGCTTATTCGTAGCCGAGTCTTTCCCAGAGAGTGGGATTTTCTAATGACTTTTTGTTATTTGTATTTTTCCCCCCATTTAATCCTTTTGAAAATACAAGTCCTGCTAGCTGATATCAATTTTTTTCTGGGCAGAATTTTTTCTTTATAAAAATAAAAAATTAAATATCAGATTACACATAGATAATATAAATTTGAAAAGCTACTAGGTTTTGGTTTTCACATGATATATAATATAATATGAAACTACAATAACTGATGGATTTTTGTTTGACCAGCTCAGGTAAACTATGTAACAATATATTATCAGATGTGGAAAGATGTTTCCAGTAACATTAATGATAATCTGGTTCATAATATGAACTGTTACTTAAAAATATTTCATGCATTCTTAAAGCTATTTATCATTTACCTTTTATATTTAAACATTTTATTACTTAGGTATATTTTACATGCAGTGAAATGCACATACCTTAGATGTTCAGTTCCACATAATTTGTGAACTTATACACTATTGTATACACCCCAAAACAGGATATAGACCAAGGTCATCACTGTACAAAGTGTCTTGCTGAGGCTTTCCAGTCACTTATGCCCGCCTACCAAAGCCTACCACTTTCTGATTTTGTCACCTCACCTTAGGCTAGTATTATAGATCACCAATGGAATCATACAGTATTTATTGTTTTTCTAATTCTCACCTGAGGGCATGTTTTTATTGATTTTTAGAGAGAAAGGAAAGGAGGGAGGAAGAGAGAGAGAAATCGATGTGAGAGAAACTGCCATCTGTTGCCTGGGGATCAAACCCGCAAACTAGGTATGTGCCCTGACCCAGAGCCACCCACCACCTTTGGGTGCAAACAACTGAGCTGCGCAGCCAGGGCAAGTATTTATTATTCTGTGTTTGAGTTCCTTTGATCCACACATTTATTTTGCAATTAATTGAAGTTGTTTTTAATTCAGTATTCTCCTTTTTATTAATAGTTTGTATTCAAATATAGTTTATCTGCATTTGTTCATCTAAATTCGAGGCTTTTCTTGAACAAGCTTCTCTCTGTGTGTGCACATGTGTGTACATATATTTTTATTTATCTTGAATAAATGGCAGCATATTGAATTGCTGGTCAATAAGATCAGTGTGTATTTAACTTCCTAAGAAACTGTCAAATAATTCTCCAAGGTGCTTGTAACATTTTTACAACCCACCACCAGTGAATGAAGGTTTTATGTTTCCCATACGCACAAACATTTGACATTATCAGCCTTTTTCTATTCAGCCCTTCTAGTGTGTATGTGAAAAGATATATGATTTTGGTTTTAATTGCAGTTGCTAATGATAAATTTATCAACTTTTCTTGTGCTTATGGACAATTAACACAATTTTAAAAATCTGCATCCCAGTATTTTTAATCTACTGGATTGACTTGTACTATGTACAAATATTGATAAATAGCATAAACATAATTATATTTCTGAACAATCTATTCTGATCCACTGATCTATTTTCTATGTTTAAAACCTTATCACACTCTCAGTATTGTAGCTTTTATAAGTCTTGAAATAATATAGTATAAGTATTTTGATTTTATTCTACTTTTTCTGCAAGAATACTTTTCCTAGTCAATCCTTTCATTTTTATACAAAATAATTTTTGCATTTCTTTCAGTGATGGAGTTCAGGAGAAAAGTTTATTTCTTTTGAGTGCATATGCTTTTACTTTGTTTTCATATTTAAGTAACTACATATTTTTCAATATTTTGAAGCTGTTGATAACCAGGAGTCAAACTTCTCCCAGAACACACTTAAAGTCCATGTTTACTGCAGCCAGGAAGGCTGAATGCTGCGAGGAAGCGTGGGGGTCCCCCTGTAAGAGGCAGAAGGAAGAGAGACATCTATTGTGACTCCCTGAAGAAGAAAAGCTTGACATTATTGTTTTTATGTCTGATGACATTTCATTTGGTATATGCTGTTAATAACTCAAGAGAGAAACTCAGAAGTTTCCACTCTTGTAGATGCTTTCATCTGAGAATTACTGATGTTTGAAGACGATGTATATTTTTCATTTCAATGGAAGGATCTACTTGACATTTTCTGAACAGTAGATTAATAAAGTGGGAATTATTCAAAGCCTTCTTCAGGGTAAAGGGGGACATGGTCACTCTCTGCTACTTGAGGCAAAATCAAGATTGAATTTCATTACTTGAAGCAATGGGAAAATTATGTAATGCCCATAAAGAACTTTGACTAATTCTAAAAGGCTTTAATTTCAGATTCTAAGTGGAATTCTATGTGATGATAAGCCCCACTCCTAGAAGCTGCTCTTAAATACCTGATGGAGAAAGTAGTGCCAACCACAGATTTTTTTTTTTTTTAGTGCTTTAAATTATTCCAGAGAGATGAACCAAACTGAATTAGATGTGAGAACTGAATCTCTCTTTTTTCCTCATTACTTGAATGACATCGAGCTAAATTATTTACTTCATTACTTCTTTTTTTTTTTTTTTTAATATATCTTTATTGATTTCAGAGAGAGGAAAGGAGAGGGAGAGAGAGAGAAACATCAATGATGAGAGAGTCACTGATCTGCTGCAGCCCGCAAC